CCAAGTCTCTGGGACGTAGGTTGAGGTATGAAGGGCTACAGAATCGAAGAGGTGGGTAGGGAGCCGCATGTTTTCCGACCTCTTCACTACTCTCTCAATGCTCTTATACACTCCCCATGCTCCTTGTTTCCTCCTGCTCAGCTTTGGAGCTAGATCGTTCATCATATTGATTTCCCGACCTAGGTACACGTAGCTGGAGCATTCGGTGATGTTCGTTCCGTTGAGCGTGAATGGGGCATCAGAAACCAATCCGTTTCTCATAAACATCGTCTTCGTTAGGTTCAGCTGTAGACCAACCTTACCACAGGCGCAGTCGAAATCAGCCAGCATTCGCTCCGCTTGCTCGATGTTCGGCGTTATAAGAACGATGTCGTCAGCAAAACGAAGGTGGTGTAGTTGCCGGCCGTCGACCTTCACTCCCATGTCTTCCCATTCCAGTTGACGCATGACGTTCTCGAGAGCGGCGCTGAAGAGTTTGGGCGAGATGGTGTCGCCCTGTCGAACCCCTCTCTTGACGTCGATGATGACCTCCTTGTAGAATGGTGAGATTCTGGTCGTAAAGTTGCTGTAGAGCTCACGAAGAATTCTTGATGTACTGAGGGGGGCGTGTTGGCCTGACCTTCGGATGGAGACGTTCTGTTTCTATCGAGTCGAAGGCCTTCTTCAAGTTGATGAACATAACACAGAGCGGCGTCTTGTACTCTCGTGAAACTTCAATAAATCTTGTAACCGTGTGGATATGGTTGATCGCGCTGAATCCCTTTCCAAAACCCGGCGCATGGGCTGTCCTTCATCCAGTATTCTGCCGATCCTGTTGAGGATGACTCGAGTGAATAGTTTATAGATTACAGACAGCAGGCAGATTGGGCGATAATTGCCAATGTCGTCCAAGTCTCCCTTCTTGTACAGCAACACGGTTCTGCTGGTTTTCCACGGAGTGGGTACCTTGCATTCCGACAGGTAGCGCGTGAAGAGTCGAGCCAGAGTTTTGACAATAGCTGGCGGCGCATTCTTCAGATGTTCCGGTTTAACACTGGCGAGACCTTGTGCTGTACTATTTCGTCAGATGTTCGCAGTTTAACACTGGCGAGGAAGGGTGCTGCTACATATCTTCAGATGATCGGTTTAACCCTGGCAAGGACCGGGTGCCTGTTGCAGTTGATAAGTAGGCAGATGGACATGGCTATCGAAGAGATCCGAGTAGAAGTCGTGGATGACTTTCTCCATTGCCCTTCGGGATGCAGTAACTGTTCCATCTGGACGTCGGAGGCAGGTCATCTTGGTCTTGTAGCTGGCAAAGCTTCGGCGGGCATTGCGGATGCTCCTCCCAGCCTCTGCTGCTTCAGCTAATACTGCTGCTCTTCGCTCCTTGAGATCTTCCTTTATCGCCTCTCTGCATAGCTTCGCAAGCTCGGACGTGAGTTGGTGATTGCCTGCAGCTCGTGCGGCTCCACGTTGGCGTATCAGCTCGAGAGTTTCCGTAGACAGACGTCCTTTGGTGACTTGCAAACTCTCTGCCTTCCTGCCACTCTCGTGAAGGTGTTCAACGAGCCGATGATATTCCTCGTCGATGTTCTCGATAACGTAAGGGAGGGATGTCCATGAGATTGCAAGAGGAGTGAGAGAGATCTCAATTGAATGATCTAATCCGTTGGGTTCTTTGATTTCCTGAATTTGAGGCTCTCTCAACACGCCCTGGAAAAAGTGGAACTTTGCGCGGAGGAGACGATGGTCCGATAGCCGTGTAGAACTTTGGAACAACAGCGACATCAGTCAGGCACAAACCTTCGATTGAAGATGGTGTGGTCTATCTGGTTGACTGGCCATCAGGTGACTCCCAAGTCCAACGAAGGTGAGACTTCTGTAACTGTGAGTTACCATGGGTGTGGTGTTGGCTGACATGATGAACTCTGACAGTCTTTCGCTTTGCTCATTCCAATTTATTCCGTGGAGTATCCGATGTGATCTTCAGCCGTTCTTCTTGGGCCAATCTTAGCGTTGAAGTCGCCGACGATGACCTTAAGAAGGTATGATCTTCCCTGTAGAACTTCTCCAATTCCATATAGAATGCTTCGTGTTCTTCTTCGTCGTAGCTGGATGTTGGTGCGTAGGCGACGAAGATTGTCAAAGCAGGAGTTGAACCACATCTTCTCAATCTCAAACGTCCGATTGTGGGTCGTTGGGCTTTAGGCTTAAAATGATATATTTCTTGTTTTTTTTTCTTCATTTCTGAGGTGATCCCCTGGCCAGGAGGCCTTTTCGACGCCACAACCGTCAGGGCGTTGTGACGTTCACTAGCTAAGCTGTGTTGAGTTGTTAACAACAAATTAAAGGTGGATTGCAGGATAAGTACGATAGATCGGAAAGAAGAGGAGTTTTTCGAGTGGAGAGCAGGAGAGGACTATTGAAGGCGTGCGGTGCCGACACGCAGTTTGCTGAGGAGTATAGCTCCGGGCGATTCTTAGCACGACCTTTGCATTGCGGCGCTGTTGCACGCTATCGGGCGCCCTCTAGAAGAAGAGCGACGAAGAGAGTGTGCTAGCATTTTTGAACTGAGCAAGGCACGGCAGGATCAATACGGAAATCAGTGCCTAAGAAGTGGATCGTTTCTCGGGTTCTAGGCCGTTTTCTCGGTTTTTTCTCCTTTCGTGCATCACCTACCACCTATAACTTGTGTTCAATGAGTTGCCTTTTCGTCGTGAATTCCGTCTTTGAAGGTAACTCCTCAACGCAATGGTTTGCCTGCTCCTGATTTTCATTAGTTCTAAAATGTTATTGGGCGTTTACAAGCATTCAGTTCTCTCAACTTATGCGACGTTGCAAGTTACCGTCATAGTTAGCCATTTCAACAACAATCGATTCTGACTTGAGCTGCATCAAGGGGAGATGGTATAATAGATTGAAAGCCATTAAGAATGAACGTAGACGCGGCAGATGGTAAAAAGTGAGAGAAACGGTTCGAACTCATAAAATAAGACCCCTTCTTCTGTATTGATTTTCGTGACGAGCCCTTAATCGATAGATCATTTCGTCGGTGTGAATCCCCTGCTTTGCCTTTTCACTCGCAGCCGCAGAGCAACTCCTTACTAGAGAGCAATGAAGGCGCTTGATGGCCATCACCAAGAGTAAGGCAGAGCTTGCTAGGACGCGTTATGGGTCATATTCCGGCCGTGGAGTGTCAGTCATTAGTGTCATAAGGGAAATCAACCTCCCACTGCAGTGAGAAGATTTTCCCTCTGCTCATTCGTAGCACCTCCCTTAGAGTAAGGACGTACTTCTGAATACCAAAAGCTGTCTC